TGGGTAATAAATCAGTGAGCAGTTTGAAAGCAAATGCAGTACAGTGCATGTCAGGGGAGAGCTACAGAGTCTTGCTGTTTTCATTTCAAATGATCTCTGAACTATTTCACCAGACAAATACCCTGCTTCAGTGGTCAGAACAAAATTGTTACCACCGTTTAGAAACAGCAGCCTTACATGATCAGTGAGCTGGGAGAGCAGCAGATCCGAGCAGTTCAACAGCCAGTCGGGTCCTGCAGATAAATCCAAGCTGTTATGTCAAGCCGACTTGATAAGAGAGCGTTTCTGCTGAGAAAGTGTGGACAGTGTGATGAGTAGCAGTCTTGTCCTGCTCACTGGTACTACCTTTCAGTTTTTTGGGGTTTTTTTTTCTGACAGATCGGTGTGTGGATCATGCAGTGTGAAGGTAGGCATGATTTCAATTACAGATGTCTTATACAAATCTTAGAAAACACTGCAGTGCAAGATCAACAATAATAAGGCAATAAGGTGGTGCCAATCAACTACAACTACAACTATTCAAAATCACAAAGGGCAAACTGTGACAAAGTCAACCCAGAAGACTTAGGACATTGAACTGTCCGAACAAACACGGAAACAAGAACCAGAGGACACAACTGGAAACGACATGGAAGTGCATTTAAGACTGAGAACAGGAGGCACTGCTTTATCCAGAGGGTTGTGGGGGTATGGAACAAGCTGCCCTGCCATGTTGTTGAAGCCAACACCCTAGCCTCTTTCAGGAAACAACTGGATGAGCTCCTAAGATCAATTAACTATTAAAACCAAATGGGCTAGATGGCTGAATGTCTTCCTATTGTTTGTTATTATTCTTATGTTTCCCACAAAGCAACTTGGGACCAATGTAGTGGGTAGTGGTAATGTAGACCAATATGTAGTATTGCATTGCATTTTGTATAATATATGCATAATGTAAGTACATTACGCCAAATCATTCATGTAAATTATCCTTAAACATGAAACATTCCTGGTGTGGTCATCTCCTCTAACCCGCCCACCCACTGGCCTCCTGAACCTCTGATTGGAGGAGCAGGATGTCCCTCGCTGACATCACTCTCCAAGGCTGCAGGTGACGGGGAAGTCACAGGGGCCAGTCTTTCGCCAGAAGAGTCTACTGTGCAGTGCTCCATGGGAAATCCTTTCTCCGCTGACCAGTCACATGACCCAGACTTGAACTTGTGATGGACGGGATGTATCTTTAACCTGTACTGGGAGCACAATCTAACTGATCGAGAGCCCTCGGGAGCCCCTGCGCAATGAACGCTTGTATCTGAATTTTATAATCTGCGTGCTTGATTCCCCATCACACGCGTTGCTGTGCAGTTGAAAGTGGGAGACTATAACCTAACCTGTGCGGAGGTGCTTCCCACTGTTTTAACTAGTGCCTCTGCGAGGCTGCAGTGAGTGGTGGTGTCAGTGTGGTCTTCTTTGTTGTGCAGATGAAGATCCCCTCCAAGAAGCTGGCCCACATTCCGGTCTACACCGTGGGCTTTGAGAGTGGCACAGTCAGCCACCCCAGGAAGGGAGAGGTCTTTCAGTAAGTTACCTGGCGAGCCCTGGCTCCTGTCCCTCCTGCCACTACGTCTAGGACAACTGCAATAGGGAATGAACATTCATATTATTAGAATATCAAAATATTAATATGATCCGAAAAACCAACTTTCCGCTTCCCAGCTTTGGGAAACACCAAGAGATTATTAATATTCCTACCCAGAATTCATGGCAAATCGTACGCCTGCAGTCGCCATGATCCTGAAAGGTATCTCCAGACAGGTTGTCTTTCTCTCACGAGGACACTCGACAGCGACGCTCCTCACAGCGCTCCTTCCCTGCTCTTTCTCCAGGTCCCTGCGGAGCCTGACGAGCCGCTCGGTGGAAGAGGAGTTCCCCCACCTCTACGCCAACGGCTGCAGCCTGAAGGACATCTGCTCGGAGTGCGCCAAGTTCGTGGGCGACGTCATCACCTCCAGCCGGAAGAGCTTGGACATCCTGAACAACACTCCCAAGAGAGCCCAGGCCGTCAGGGTGGGCCCTGGGAGAGGTGCCAAGTTCCAATAAAGTGCTTGCCTTTCACGCCATACGCCCTCCCTGAAAGAAAAACATAGCGCCATTTGTGTACTGAAATAAACCTCGATGTTCCTCTTCTGGCATGGTACGAGTTACCGCCGCGCGTGAATGTCTTCTGGTTCCCACGACAAACGCCTCACGTTTGCGGCTGTTCTCTGCCTGAAGTTGTGATTCATTTGCTCCAGTCGCCTATTATAACCTCTTTTTCAAAACGTCATCGGAATACGTTTTAGAGAGACTTGACCCAGCACGCGCAAAATAAGCCCCCCCAAGGGGAATTAGCACTTGACCCGTTGGGATGTGTTGGAGTCTGCCTTCCCCAAGACGTACTGTAAGTGCTGCTTTTGCGATGTGAGCACTGGTTAAGAGGAAGGGTGAAGGTTTGTCACCCTAAAAGCGGGGCCAAAGAGAGAAGAAATGAGGAGCAAGGGAATGTGACCCTAAAATCCGTGGAGGTCATTGCCTCACAGTTGTTCTTCTTTATTTTGGACATCGAAAACTCCACGTGGAAAAACACAGCTTGCCACATCGTCGGTATCCAAATGAGAGTCTGCGAGCAGACCTGCTCTGTGTCTTGCGCCACCTGTTTCAACAAGAGCATCAAACACAGAGGTGGTTGACATTAATAGAAGCCACAAGGGGTGTCGGGGCTGTCTCTGTCGTCCCGCTGCAGAGAGCTGAGAGTTCACGCCGCCCGGCTGTGCAGGACCTGTGCAAAAGTGAAACTTTAGAAACTTTAGAGAACTTTAGAAATCATCTCGGGAAAGCTCTTCTGCTTCGTATGAGTATTGTCATCCAGGTGCTTCTGAAATCCCATGGTGAAAACATCTGTATCATAATTCAGTCTCTGTTGGGGGAAAATTTATTTTTTCTTTTTTTTTAATTTGTGGTTCAGAACGCAATGTCCAGTGTACAAAACAAAATCAATTTCATTCAGACCTCAGAATTTGAATGTCAGAATCATATTTTTATTGACTGGTGTACTCTATCACAATCCTTTTTTTGCTTTTTAAAATTTTGCTTTTCCAACTTATTTGGAGATTTTTCTTCTTTCTATCCTGAGTGGATGTGACCTGAACCGGTTACGTTTTATCTAGGTATTTTCCTCTGCAAGGAAGGATATTGAGCAAAATGATAGCTGCACTAATTTAGAAAGCTTCCACGTTGGCAGTATTTTGCTTTCACCGGCCAGTTTAAAGACATGATGGTGCAAAGCCTTTTTTCATGTCAGAACCCTGTAAACACTTAATAAAATTAAGCTGCAATAAATCTACATGGCCTGGCATCTGCGTTGTGACCATTTACAATCCACGTTACTTTTGATCAAGCAAACAATATACCATCATGGAGACCTGTAGTCAAGTCAGAATTGCTCAGCTTAACTCAGATGTTTCCCAAGAGTCTTGAGTCAGGTCCAGAGCTTCAAGATCCTTTAACTGATATCACGAGTGAGTCTTGTTGACATGAGACACACGCAGGTCTGAATCCCAGCTATACCGAGTCAATGCAATTGTAAAAATATAAAATCTGTCCGAAAGAGACCCTTGATTCAAGCAAGTACAAGAATTTAATGCATTTCCTACATTTTTGCATGTACTGGAAATAAAACTAAAGAGAATAATTTTGAAACAGGAGAGTAAGAATAACCCTAAAAGCAGTATAGTATTTAATCATTGTCAGCAGGTATTTGCATTTGTATGAGGTCCCATAAAGTTATTCTGCTACAAATAAAGTTGCAACTCGTTTAATAAAAAACATTATAAAAAATCCATTTGCAAAATCCGTGTTCTCCCTTGAACATTCAATTTAGTCCTCGGCTGAGCATTCCCGAAGCTATGCTAGTAGGTGCATGATTAAAATATATTTTTCCACATAAATCAAGGTGCTAATCTAACACAATGTTCACGATCACCAATTGCATGGTACAAGCACAAACTGCCTACCGACCCTTCAAGATCTTCACTACAGCAGTTATATTTTTTGTTTGTTCTGTCAAACGTTCATACTTCTTCCAAGGTCACTGAATGTTTCTGGGTGTGGCACCTTAGTGTATATCACTTCATTGAATACAGTACATAAAACCTGGAAAAGAGCTTTGTTCAACTGAGCAAAAGCTTGCATCAGACAAGACATTGACAAGACATTCACACAGCATGCTGTGCAACTCTTCAGTGAGCTCTGCTGTAGGCTTATCCACACAGTTATCAATCTAATGAATAATAATGACAGTAAGAGCAACCACCATCATCATTTTACTTCTTTATACACAATGGTGTTAACAAAACACAATGAGATAGCTATTAAATAGAGAGCTAGAAACTATTTTCTAAAAAAATATCCTTTTTACTTTAAATAACTCTCAAACTCTTGGATGAATGGCTGCAAAAGTGTTTTAAATTCCGTTTCAGTTCCCACAGCATGAAGGAACACGCTGGGCTTTTTGAAGACTGGAGTGTTCCTGAGGGTCAGGGTAATTTGTCAAGTCTACCATAATTCTGCCAAGCACGATCAGATGTTGTGCATTTTTATGCCACTAGGTGGCAATAGCGACCCACAAACTTGAACAACATTTGCTGCGCTCTGTTTTTAAATGCGCTTCAAGAGTCAACGACAGATCTTCTGGATCAATATTAAGTGACTGTGGGACTTCGCCGAGACTACACAGTCAAGACTTGACAATGCAGTGTACTGTATATGTCACTTGAAGTAAAGTCTGCACTTACTGTACAATTTCAAGGCAAGAGACTCGATCAAGCCTGGTCGCAGGTCCAGATTGCTGACCACTCATCTAAAACTATCACCAAAGTTATACTGTAGTAACTGTGATCACGTGAGAGAGATTTGCTATTGTTATTTTTTACTTTATGGAAATACTATTTCAAAAATGATGCAAGCGAGAGAAGGCCCGTCTTGAGTAAAGAATTATTTCCTATTCTCCGTACCAAATAAATTCCCCTCCCTGGTTGTGGCACTGGTTTTGTGTCGTGATTGTGCTACCCAGTGTGAAACCACCTTCAGCCTTACACCTTCAAATCTCTATCCTTTCAACTCAGTTTTGATCGAGATGGAAATGACTTAGCGCCCTTAAACTGTCCCTATCTGATAAACACCTGAGGCAAGGGGTGCTCTCTTCTTGAACTCTTTCCACAGCTATAATATCCTTTTTGTTGTTGTTGTTGTTGTTGTTGTTTTTGTGGTGCCGTGTGATGGCCAAAACTAACAACGCCATCCCAAGTAAAAGTCAGTCATTGAGAAAACACTTGGAAGGAAAGTGTAGCCCTCGAGTGCTAGAGGTCTCCTTAATGGAGCGCATTACTTGCTTCATTGATCGACAGCACGCCAGTTGTGTGTGTAATTGCGACACATCGCGTTAGCCGCCGGTCCCCGGCCGCGTCTGGATGGTTTTCGGCTGGCTGGTCGGGGTCATGGCCCGGAGCCCCCCCGCCCACATGCGCCGACCCGCAGCCGGACACGTGTAGTTCAGGAGCAGGTATTTTTTGACAGGAGAGGCCCTTCCTCCTTATGAATAATAAACAGCCCCGTTTCCACGATTGGCCGCCGTCTCACCCTGCCCCGTTGTAAAGTTTTTATCCCCACCACCCTTCTCCTCTCCTCGGCTTTCCTTCATGAATAAATAAAAAAGTCGGTCTAACCTCTTATTTTCTTTCGCGAGTCAACTCGACTTCCAGCGCACTTTTCTGCTCAATGGGTTTGTGGGTGTGACGGGTTTTGCTTGTAACTTGGCGCTGATAAAGAAGGGAAAGAAAAAGTTGAACAACTATGACGGGCGTAGTTTAAAAAAACGACCACGATGGCCGTCTGGACGAGAGCTGATAAGAACGGACTTCTGGACCTTCTGCTCCGGGACCGCTGGATTAGGGTCCTGGCAGAACTCACCCGTGAGACCCTAACTTTGACAGCGGATGCCGAGCCCATCGGACCGGGCGGCAGTGCGGATTACAGCCCCTCGCCGGGCCTGTGGAACGGGCTGTCGAACGGGACCGAGTCGGGCGGTCCGACCCGGACGCAGAGCCAGCACCCGAACCACGGCGCGCTGAGACGCACCGGGAGCCCGGCGGGCGGCGGGGTCAGTCGGGCTCAGACCGACACGGGCTACGCTTTCGGCAGCCCGGGCTCGGGCAGGATCGCTCAAGATAACGGCACCAGCTCCGACCTGGGCAGCCCCGGCTCCAGTTACGGCAGCCCCGGCTCAAGCTTCAGCAGCACCGGACCCCTGAGGCTGGGCGATACCCACCCCGGCTTGGAAAGTGCCGGCTCCGAGGCGGTGCGGAGAGTGCGAGTGGTGAAACAGGAGTCCGGCGGGCTCGGCATCAGCATCAAGGGGGGACGGGAGAACCGCATGCCCATTCTCATCTCCAAGATCTTCCCCGGGCTCGCCGCAGACCAGAGCCGGGCGCTGCGGGTCGGCGATGCCATCCTGTCGGTCAACGGCAACGACCTGCGGGAAGCCACGCACGATCAGGCCGTGCAGGCGCTGAAAAAGGCCGGCAAGGAGGTGACTCTGGAAGGTACGTGATCGCAGACGATCTCGGGGATTCACCTCGTTAGGCCACGGCGGTGGGTGGGAAAAGGTTTGTGCGCGGACTTCACCGGCTGGGACCGAAGTCGTGCGCGTAAAACTGGAAAGCGCGGAGGTTATTATTATGATTATTTTATTTTGTGTGTGTGTGCGCGCACAGAGATGAAGTAGCGAGACGAGCTTCTTTGAAGTGTTTTTGACTGCGGCATGCCTCAATCCGTCAACGAAACTCGGGGCTCACGGAGTGAGGGAATCAATTACATTTAAGGGGGGATCGTAAATGCTTAAGATGCGAGTCAATTGGACAGATTTTTCGTGATGCAGGGTTCAGAAAATGTTGCTCCCTTGTTTTACACTGAATGCAGAAGTGCTTGTGGGATACCTTCATGCTCGAACTTGGGTCTACTGGGTACTTGAGCATTTCAGTGTGTACTCGCCTTCTTTTAAAGATTTATATAAGCAAGACAGACGGCGCTACTCTGTTTATATTGCTGGTCGTTTCAAGATCCCGTCTAAGACCCTATTCCAGTCTTCAAATCCAAGCGCCTTTCTTCCTAAATCCCGTCGTTATCTGGAGGTGAGTGATCTGATGTACATGTTGAAACACCTCGCCGGCATGACACGCTCGTTACAGCGCCGCGAGGTTTGCAAAGGTGAGGCAGGTTGTTCTGGTGACTTCGACGTGTGTGGTTAATAACTGGAGCCACCGCCCTACTATTAATGAGCTTTTGATCGATCAATTAGTCCCCCTCCTCACACCAGCTGGTACCGAACTGCAGCGGTGTCTCTCTGTCGAGCTCCGACAGGAAGTACGTCGCCGTCAAACCCAGTGTTTTGGAGAACATTTCACAGCAGTCATCTGTTCTCGTGGTTAAACATTTCACGCATTTTTTTCCAGTGTACTTCCTACACGGTGTTCTGGTATAAGTGTGTGTGTGTGGGGGGATTTTATAGAAATATTTTGCGCTGATCTACTTTGTCCTTCTTTGCGTAGCAGATAACAGTATGTACTGCCTTTCATCATGTGCTGGGCTCATAGTATAGCCTAGTTATCTGGAAAAATGGGACAGGAAACTCGTTCTGAGCCTTGTCCTTCGTTTTGAAGTTGCAGGAGACAGTTTCTCGTGCCATTCCTCCCACATTCACTGGAGTGTGTGACGTGAGGCGGGAGGCACAGGCTCCTACAGTGCTCCTCTTCACCGCTGTTCCTGCTGAGCCTGTATCTACAATGT